GTTTTTGCTATATATATCTCTATAGCTTTAATAACGTAAAATTTTAATTATTTTTGTCGTTTGCAGGTTTATTTTTATCATTTTAGAGGTATAAGAAAAATAGACTAAACTTACGTTATTCGCACTGATAAACATAGAAGTCTAATTTTTCTATTTCTCAAATTCAAATTGGCTTATTTTTGAATAATTTAAAAAGTTTTTGAAGCCGAGTTACACCTCACAAAAAGAAATAGAGAATGTGAGAGCATCATATAACGGACATCGATCAATATGTATACACATCTAACACATGAAAAACAACATATAAGCATTGGCAAATTTGGGTTGGCAGATTTAACTTTTTGGCGCTACTTGCATTGTTTGATTAATGTTAATTAATTAGTTCAAAGATAATTATGATAGGGTTTAAATTATTACAATGTTATAAATATTCTCTCATAATTTACACGCACGTAACTAAGAATAATATAAATCATGTAAATAATAAAACGATAAAAAGTTGGTTGCCAGAGTAAAAGTATAGTAGTAGTAGAACGAAAGAAGATCCGAATCGTACTAAAAAATCCATGAAGATGATCCAACACAGAAACATGTGGATCACCCTGTCAAGAATCCGTTAAGCATTGATTTCAACCGATTAAAGTGACAATTATTACAACATTGAATTATATATGACTTTTAATTATTACTACTCCATATAAAAATATTCCACCCGAGAGGTCACAAGGTAGCACAAACTTTAGACTTGAGTTAGGGATAGCTTCCCTTCCGATATTAAAAAAAAAAATTAGTACAAATTTGGGCTTATATTCTCCCCGTTTAATTACGTACCAATATAAAAGTATATCATAGCACAATATCAATAGAGATTGAACATGTACTAGCTGAGCTAGACGGTGTGGTTTCAAATGATGATTTAATTACAATGAACATTAAAGACGATTATCTACTAGATTGACTAGTAATAATATATTGATGTTTATTTGCTCGATCAATGTTTTTTTGGGTGGAGTCAAGAGTCCCTAACCTTCTAACGGTTTCACATTATATCATGTGAAAGTTTGTAGATAGTTAAAATTAGATATAATTAAATTAATTTAATAAATGTCAAGTTAGCTTTTATATATTTACGTGTTATTAGCAATAAGATGTCAACATCTAATATATATGATGGTCCATAACTTTACCCAAAGAATAATGATGATGCTTAACTTGACACTTTAATCCCATTTTATTCTCATGACATCAACTTAAACAAAATTCAACCTTGGCTTGATGGAGTTAAGAAAATTATAGCTAAAATCAACTTTAATATCTTTGGAGCGTACTAAATTACTGATTAATAACAATCTATATATGATCTAACCATGCATGTTAAGGTTAAATTAGCCTTTTAATAATGAAGGATGGCTCTTAACTACTAATGTTAGTTATATATTCAATGTAATTTTAAGCCTTTCTAATAATCAAATTTACCAAAACATCCTTGGCCCACATCCATGAATTTGAAGCTAACCATGTCAAAATGTGTTTATTTCACGTCAAAGTTAGGTCATCTAGTACTGAGGGTTAATTACACGTCTAATTTGTTTTCTTTTTGGTTGGAAAATTAAGACCCTACAATTTAATATATTGTCACAATTTAATACAACTATAAAAGTAATGGTTGAGAACAGTAAATGTTGATTTTAAAGGTAATTTATAAATTAAATTAAATGTAATTAAGTAGCTATATTGTCACGATTTATACCACGTGGATGTAACTTGCTATGTACACGATGCAATGATAGTAACTCAAGGTGGATATATACTTGATGATTATCATTTGATGGCCTTTTAGGCTAAGAAATCTCAGCTTAGCTTTTGGTAGCTATCTACTGATTGAAGTTCTCATCTTAACAACTTAGATACGTACTCATAACTAATTATCAAGAAGTAGTGTAGTCGCAATTAGTTGAAACCTTTTTACTTTTGTATGTACAATAAATTATACTTTGTGTATGGTACAAACAATGTCACTTCTTTACTTATATAATCACACATTGAGCTAGCGCATATAGATTTATATACAGAATAAAACATGCATATATACTATATAAATGTATCTTTCCCATACAACTGGTGATTCTATATAGATTGAAAGCCGTGTTATAATCCACTTCTTATACATTATATAGCAATTTTGAGACTTTAAACGAAGAAGAAAGTATTATACCTTTCATTACCGTGGTCTCTCCTTGTTTTGATGCATGCATGCATGCATGCATGCAACAAGAGTAACGTAAGATATATATGTCATCCGATCCATTATAATATGTATAATTGAGATTATCATTTGTGATAACTCAGATTAAATAGCTTAGGGGACATAAATATACTTACAAAGTACGTATATACTTGTTTGTGGTAGATACTGGTTAGAGTGTATGATTAAAAGTTGAAATTATAATAATACTCCTATTTAATTTCATAATTTCATCTTAATTAATTGAATCCATAAGAAGAGCACGTGACTGCCGCCATGATGGTTTGGTTGAGGTATGCTTAATTGATTAATTGGTGAACATTTTTACCTATAATAAATAATAAAAATGGTTGATGAACATTAAATTAAGGAATCATGTCACAAAAAAATACAGACAACAAAAAAGGAAAGCTATGATAAAACACAACTAAATACTGTGACTAATGACTAGGGGCTGCTTTAGATGAAAGCTAAAAATATAATTAAAGTTTAAAGAACATTCTTAATTATAATTATTTTTTTCTATCTCATTAAGGCTCTTTGCTTTTTTAATCTACCATAATTCTCAAGTAATCATCTTTGTTGAAGTTTACCAGATTTATATAAATTATGATTTTAAAGCTAAGTTGGTAACACTTTAATTAACCTTGTGTTGGACCTCTTTATCATAATTTTCCTGCATTACCTTTAAATCTTATACTTTTGTTTTCAGATCTTTTGATGTTTATTTTCAAAAGTAGAACTAGAGAAGAATAGCGTTAGGCAGGCCTTTATGGCCTAGATTAAAAGCTAATAAGTGGGTACTCACTAAAACCTCTTAATTAATTACGAAACACCTTATACAATTATACATATAGGACGACACACATTAAAGGTGAGACTTTAAAAAATTCATATACTCATACGTGAGTACGAGTAATAGTTTGCTATGTGCATAAATTTTGTCACATTATTATTGTACGATCGATTATATATATATATTATAAGGTTTTTTTCAACAGCTTCACACCCAATTAAAACATAACCCTATATATGTATAGCTAGAAGGATTTTACATGAATAGAATGGTGTAACTATAATACAAAGTAAATAACAAACTTATTGACTTAAGGTCGATACAGAGATGCTGTGTTCGAACCTCACCAACATGCAAAATAATATCAAGTTTTAATATTAATATGACCTAATGTGATTGCTTGGAAATCAAGACTCACTAATTACTATTATATTATATCCGACAGATATTCATAATTCTAACTGTTTTCGTACTCTAAACTAATCCCACTAAAAAAAAAATACGGAGTACAATTATACACTAATACCTAAATAATCCAGCCTAAACCACCGCTTAGATTCTACACTTTTTGGCATGGAGTTATATTTTTGCTATTTTAGGCAGTTGGAAAGGGGCTTCGATCTAATAATCAATTAGGTTTTATGTTTAATTTTTTTCATGCAACTATGTACTGTCCTTATAAATTATAACACTTGATACCGTTTTTTTTCTGAAAAAAATTTAAAGAAACATCGTAAACTCTATTGATTATTACTTCCTTTATTTCCATTTTTTTGCTTCATACTAAATTGTTATTAGTTGATCTACTTTTTTATTTTTGACGTGTGTTTGAATCGAAAGTGATAATTATATTATACGTAATACTCCGTATATCAAAATTACAAAATCTTAACTTACTCGATCCAAGTGAAATACATTCTACTACATATATAGGATTAGAAAAATATACTTCGTATAAACAAATCGCATACTATGTATCTTACTACTAGCTAGCTATAAGCTATTAAGGTACGGTCTAATGTTCTGTGACAACTTCATTCATCAATTAACGTCAACAAAAAATCAGTAAACAAATTAAAGTTTTTGCTGGATTTATACCTTAATTAGTTAAGCTTTCTGTTTTTTTGCTACACTGATTGACACCCCCAAAAGATGCCAATTATCTTCATTATTATTGCAGATCATGCATTATAAAATAAAATACTTTTGCATGGGGAAGAAAATTCAATTTATATTATCCTCTTCAATTATTTATCATCATAAAACCTAGGAATTAATTAAGAATAACAGAAAAAAGTATTTAAATATTAATATGAAGCTTTAAAAAATGAGAAAATAGAGAGATAAGATAAGAGGGAGCAATGACATGGAAACAACATTCCAACCAAGCACTATATACATTTCCAAGGGGCACGTTCGTATACCCCTCGTACTCCCATAATCCCATGTGGTTTAACCGTACATTCGTAATTTTTTAATTATAAAGCTATTATTTCCTTTAATTATTCATCAATTAGATGCTTATTACTAATATAACCTATACTTATAAAAGACACTAGCCTTGTTTCTGCAGGAATCTGATAGTCCAAATCCAAGATCCGAAGCTCGAGTGTATAACCCGTTCTGCTCCTATCGGCCAAATAAGAACCTACACACAGGGAAGAGATTAGCTAGCCCCGAGGTGAATCCGGGGATAACCGCTCCAAAGATTAAGTCAGCAAGTGTTTGTAGAAAAAGATGATTTAGAGAGAGAAAATAATGAGAGAAAGAGTGTAATAAAATGCTACCTTATTTATGAGGTAAAATCAGATTATTTATAGGTTAATTAAGTGCCAGGTGGCAGTTTAACAGGTAATATAATTTCTGCCACGTGTCAAACGTGAGAACGACACGTGTCAGCTACTTACATGCCGATATGTATACTTTATACATAAATGCCGATATTAACAAGAGTTATTGATGGACCGGATTCAAATAGTATATCGGTCTGTCATACAATATCGGCCTATGGTGATAACCGAGGGTCACATGATTTTATATACCAATTCTGATGCCGTTTGGTGTAAAGTATTTCCCACTACTCTGGTTGGAGTAGCAGCCGATTGGTTTAATAACCTTGAAAATGGAGCAATCCACAGTTTCCAACAATTAGCCGAAATGTTCGTGGGGCAGTATGTCAGCAACAGTGTTCGGCAGAGAACCTCTGGAGAGTTAATGGCTGTTACTCAAAAGGCAGATGAATCTCTAAGGGATTATATAAGGAGGTTTAATAATGAAGCCAATACAATTCCAAGATTGCAGCAGGAGATAGCAGTCATGGCACTAATGAACGGTCTGAATGATTCAGAATTTAAAAGATACTTAACCTGAAAAAATCAGCCAACATTAGCTGCAGCTTTTAACAAAGCTCATGATTATATTAAGAGCGAGGAATTGATGAAAACAAGCAGCCGAGTTAGTTCTACCGATAGGATTCACCCGATGTCTGAAGGGGGGTCTTCGGGAGTTGTAAGGCCAAGGAATCCAGCTGCAGCAAGGGGAGGAAGTCGTCAAGAGGTCAGAGGAACCAAGGCACCAATGCGATATAATTCGTATACACCTCTGAATGCACCAAGGGCTGCAATATATTCTATAAATCAAAACCGAGAAGAATGGGTGAGGCCCATGCCGATGAAAGCGAAAGGAAGGGATACCAAGAAGTATTGTATGTTCCACCGAGATGTGGGGCATTACACTGAAGACTGCGTGCAGTTGAAAGATAATATCGAGGAATTAATAAGAAGGGGGCATCTTACTCAATATCGGTTACACTCTGGGGAAAGTCAGCAACAGCAATATCGGCAACCAGAGCGCCAGCAGATAGAGTTTCGGCCAGAAAGACAAGGGCCAGTGAACCGATAAGGTGAAGGCGGGCAACCACCGTCGTCCACTGAAAAAAGAGTTGATGTAATAACCGGTGGACCAATTCACGGAGGGACGATAAGTGGAGCACGGAAGCACCTATCGGAACATCGGCACATTGTTAATGCACTAGATGTTGCTGATCGCCCACAACCGTCTGAAATTCCAAATGTAACCTTTACCAAGGAAGATGAAAAAGGAATAGTTTTTCCTCATGATGATCCCCTCTTGTTAATAACAACAATCAATGGAGCTGATGTGAAAAAAGTTCTAGTTGATGGAGGAAGTTCGGCAAATGTTCTGTTTATGCAAGCCTTTAATGAGTTGATGATAGGCCGACAATATTTAACGCTGGTATCTTATCCGGTGATTAGGTTTAACGGTTTGACGGTAAGGCCAGAAGGGAGTATAGTTCTCCCTATTAGGCTTGGAGATGATATAACAACAAGAGATGCGATGGCTGAATTTTTGGCAGTGGATGTACCATCGGCGTATAATGGAATTGTGGGAAGGCCAATAATTCATGACATACAGGTAGTAGTATCAACTTACCATCTAACTATTGCTTATGTGTCGAATAGAGGGGTTGTAGAAAAGGTACATGGCGGACAGGTGATGGCAAAATCATGCTATGTCACGGCACTGAAAAATCCAGGGCAGAAAGGAGAAGTACCAAGCAACCCAAAACGAGCAAGAGAGCCAACAGTACGAGATTTATCAATGGAGAATTTTGACTCTAGGCCGGAAACTGCGCCGAGGCCGTCACCAGAAGGTGAGATAGTACAGGTGGAGCTCCGACTGGGGAACCCAAATCAGACAGTTAAGGTTGGGGCCGATATGGATGTTGAAATGAGGTGTAATCTGATCAGCTTATTGAGAGAGAATGCATATGTGTTTTCCTTCTCGGCAAGCGATATGCCTGGCATACACCCGGAGGTGATGGAGCATAAGCTCAATGTAGATCGAAAGTTTAGACCGGTAAGGCAGAAAAAGCGCAACTTCTCAAAAGAGAAAATCGAAGCCATTCAAGCAGAAGTCAACAAGCTGTTAACGGCAGGATTTATAGAACCATGTACTTATCCAGAATGGTTAGCAAATGTCGTAATGGTTAGAAAGCTGACTGGAAAATGGCGGATGTGCGTGGACTTTACAGATTTGAATAAAGCTTGCCCAAAGGACTGTTATCCGTTGCCTCGGATAGACAGATTGGTAGATTCGACTTCTGGCCATGAAATGTTAAGCTTCTTAGATGCATTCTCCAGATATCATTAGGTTAGTCTTCATGAAGCTGATAGGCCTAAAACAGCTTTCATAACGGATGCAGGGGTATACTGCTACTAGGCAATGCCGTTTGGGCTAAAGAACGCTGGTGCAACATATCAAAAGCTGGTTGATAAAATTTTTGCTAGTCAGAAGGGCCGTAATGTGGAAGTATATGTAGATGATACAATAGTAAAAAGCAAGATGAAAAAAGATCACATAGAGGATTTGAAAGAAACTTTTGCAACTTTGCGGCAATATCAGATGAAGCTCAATCCAGAAAAATGTGTTTTTGGAGTTCGATCTGGAAAGTTTTTAGGATTTATGGTTAGTGAACGAGGCATTGATGCAAATCCTGATAAGGTTAATGCTCTTCTTGAAATGAAGCAACCTAAGTCAATTCGAGACATCCAGAGATTAACAGGAAGAATGGCAACCTTAACGCGCTTCATTAGCAAATCAGTAGATAAAGCACTCCCGTTTTTTGTGGTTCTGTGACAAAACAAATTGTTTGAATGGGGAAAAGATCAAGCTGATGTTTTAGAGATGGTAAGAAACCATTTGAAGTCTCTCCCGACAGTAGCACGACCGGAGCCGGGAGAATACTTACAATTATACATATCGGCGTCACCAAAAACAGTGGCCTCAGTCCTGCTAGTTGAGAGAGCCAAACAACAAATGCCGATATACTTTGTCAGCCATGTCCTTAATGCTGTTGAGCGATGATATCCAGTGATAGAAAAAATAGCCTTTGCTGTCGTTATTGCCGCTAGAAAATTACGACCTTATTTTGATGCACATCCGATAGAAATCCTTACGAATCATCCATTAGAAAAATCGCTGCAAAAAATGGATACTTCGGGAAGGTTATTGAAGTGGGTTGTTGAGTTGTCAGAATATGAGCTGTATTACAAGCCCAAGATGTCAATAAAAGCACAGGCTTTATCGGATTTTGTTGTGGAAACCTCTTACAATGATGAGGAGGAAGAATTGGGGACGTGGCAGGTATCAGTAGATGGTTCAGCAACTTTGGTAGGATCTGGAGCCGGTATTGTGATAACAGCCCCGAATGGAGAAATTTTTTAGTATGCCTTGAAGTTCAAATTCAAAGCAACAAATAATGAAGCTGAATATGAAGCAGCAATTGCAGGCATTCAGCTTTCTATAGCGGCAGATGCAAAAAGGTTAGTTCTTAAAACTGACTCGCAATTGGTTTCCAGTCAGTTTCGTGGGGAATATGAAGCAAGAGAACTGGCGATGATAAAATATCTACAAAAAATAAATGAGCTTACAGCCCAACTGCAGTATTTTGAAGTTCAATTGGTGCCGAGAGCACAAAATTCGCAGGCTGATGCTCTAGCAAGGCTAGCCAGTTCAAGTTTTAACGACTTGGAGAGAACTGTTATGGTAGAGGTTCTGAAGCATAGACGAGTCGGCAAAAGACGTTCATTGTATTCAGCTAGGGGATCAATGGTATGACAAAATCCTAACATACTTGCTGACAGGGGCTTTGCCGATAGAGAAAGAAGAAGCTCGAAAAATCAGAAAAGATAGCGTATGGTTTATAATATACCAAGGCCAACTTTATAAAATAGGGTTCTCATTCCCATTACAAAGGTGTATAACGGCAGAAGAATCTGCAAGGTTAATAGAAGAGATCCATGAAGGAACTTGCGGAAATCACCTAGGGGCACGAGCTCTTTCAAGGGAAATAAGAAGAAGAGGGTATTATCGGCCAGCAATGAATGAAGATGCTTCCTCTTATGTTAAAAAGTGTGAAAAATGTCAAAAGTTCGCACCTATTCTGAACCGGCCGCCAAATGATTTAACGCCGATATTGAATCCAGTCTCGTTTGCACAATGGGGGATGGATATAGTTGGTCCCTTTCCGTCAGCAACTAGAGATCGAAAATTCCTACTGGTGGGTATAGATTACTTCACCAAATGGATCGAAGCAGAACCAGTAACCACAATATCGGCAGCAGATTTCAGAAAGTTCATTTGGAAGAATATCTTTACAAGATTTGGCCTTCCGAGGGCAATGGTTTTTGACCATGGATCACAGTTTGATTGCAAGCCTGTAAAAACTTTGCTGACAATTTACAAAGTCAAATTTGCATATGCAGCAGTTTGCCATCCACAATCAAACGGCCAAGCAGAAGCAGCTTTTAAGCAAATAGTAATGGCAATAAAGAAAAAGATTGAAGATGCTAAAGGATTATGGGCAGATTTAATTCCAGAGATTTTATGGGCAAATAGAACAACAGTTAAAGAAGCAACAGGAGAATCCCCTTTCCACTTGGTTTTTGGAACAGAAGCCGTTATACCAGCCGAGGTCGGTCTGCCGGCATTCAGAATACAACATTACTGTGAAGAGAAAAATGATCTACTATTGCGACAACAATTAGATTTTTTACCAGAAGTAAGGGAAAAAGCGGCAGTTAAATCGGTCGCATACAAAAACAGAATGTCAAGGGCCTATAATAAGAGAGTTAATCACCGACCACTAGTCATCGGAGATTTAGTGTTAAGAAGAACATCGACAACAGGAAAGGGGAATGAAGATGGAAAGTTAACAGCTACCTGGGAAGGTCCATATCGGATAAGAGACATGGTAATGCAAGGATCATTCTATATGGAATCTGAAGACGGAAAGCCGCTAAAGAATGTCTGGAATACCGCAGTTCTTAAAAAGTACTATGTGTAAAATAAAAGTTGTAGTGTAAAAATATTATGTACGCTTGTAATGATAAATAAAATCAGATGCAGTGATCTACTTTATAACTTGTGTACAAAGGCATCCTCCATTTAACAGACCATCGTTAACTGGGATGGACAGCCGAAAACCACTTCCGTGATGACAACGCACTTGCAACCTGATCAATTGTATTCGTTAATTCACGAGGTTGTTGGTTCAGTATAAAATCCCGACCAAATCATTATATAGTATGCGCCGGCATGAAGTGCAGCTAAAACATGATCGCCGATAAGGGTACTTGCGAAACTATTACATAGTTGCACAAGTGACCAATGAGTTACAGAATATAAACTACTACCGTATACAAAAACCTGTAAGTATATACATCATAAAAATGATGTCTGCACTAAAAGGGGGAAGAGTAAGGGGCCATACCGCACCCGATATTGCAGTCTTAGTAAAGGGCTATATTTTTCATATTACAACAAAGGAAATATAAGCAGAGGTATTA